CATGTATAATATGAAAGCTATGATAGACAGTGATCTATGTTACTATGCAATGATTAAATCTTCAGTTGTAAGATATTATAACCTTCAGTGTATTCTCTTATCAAAATCCTGACTTCTTACAGAATTTAATAGTTCAAAAGATGTTTGCATCTGTTACATAGTGAAACTAAACATAGATGTCAGAGAATATCAGTGTGAAGATGCCTACACATATGAAGTTAATAATCTTAATTATAATCTTATATTAGAACTTATCTGACTATCTGAACAAGGCATCTTATTAAACACTTGAAACAGAAGTTTAATATTCTCTAACAATGATAGGGTTCATAAGAATGACATTCACAAGACTATAAACCTGATACAGATCTCTGTCAATGCCTATGAAATGCTCAGAAAAAGAAGTTGCTGAAAGAATCACTGACAGCAGAATTATGTATCAATTTATTTCATCAGTCTAACTGATATTAAAAAGACTCTAGAAAAGTTATCTCATATTATAATAACAGATTCTCATACAAAACTCTCTTAACAATATCACAAATATCTAGATATCTTTCAACAAGATAATACTATAAATATACCTCTCTTATAAGGCTCAGAAGTAGATCATAGTATCAAGTTAGAAAAGAAGAATGATAAGAACTCTAAGTCATCATAAGACTCTCTTTATAACATGTCTTGAGATGAACTTCTTCTTCTTTGAAAGACACTCAATGATCTGTTGAATAAGAAATTCATATGTGTTAGTAACTCTTTCACTGCAGCTTCTATTCTCTTTGCAAAGAAATCAGGTGAAGAACTCTGATTCTGTGTGAACTATTAAGAATTGAACAGATTAATCAAGAAGAACTGCTATTCTTTATCTCTTATCAATGAAACTCTAGCTCATATTGAATAAGCTCAATAATTTACAAAACTAGATGTCATCATCACATTTCATAAAATCTGTATTACTGAAGAAGATGAATGACTTACAGTATTCTGAACATGTTATGATGTCCTTGAATGAATAGTTACACTCTTTGAACTGATCAATGCTCTCAGTACATTTCAGAAGTATATCAACTGAGTACTTTAGAATTTCCTTGATGAATTTGTATCTGCATATCTTAATGACATTCTCATCTTCACTGATGAGTTCAGAAAAGAATATCAAGAACACATGCAAAGAGTATTACAATGATTATAAGAAGCAGAACTATCAATAGATATTGACAAGTATGACTTTAAAGTCAAGAGTATTAAATATCTAGGTTTTATCATAGAAGCTGATGAGAGAATTCAAATGAATTCTGAGAAAGTCTTCATTATTCTTGAATGAGAAGCTTCATATACTGTGAAAGATGTACAGAGCTTCATCAGATTTACTAACTTCTATCAGTGATTTATATGAAACTTCTCAGATATTGTAAGATCACTTACAGAACTTATCAGAAAGAACTCAGTATTTCAGTGATCAGCAGACACTGAAGCTGCATTTATATAGATAAAGAAGATGTTCATTAACACTTCTCTGCTAATGATATTTAACTCTGATTATAAAACAGTTATTGAAGCTGACTTCTCTAACTATGTTACAGAGAGAGCTATATTACAATATAATGATAAAGATGTCTTATAATCATACATTTTCATATCTAAGAAACTGAGTCTCACTGAATTAGACTGGCCGGCGGGACCATGAATTTCACATTTAGTCTCATTTAATCTGGTTTCATACATTTCTTGACGTGAGTCCCACCAGGACCAAGCCTCAAAAAAATCTGAAAATGAACCATTTCTGAGAGAAATGATGTGAAAAATGACCAGATTTAATTCAAGAACAGTGAAATGAGAGTAATTTCTCAGAATAAACTGTGAAAGATGATCATTCTTTCAAAATCAGAATGAGACTGAGACTGAAGATCAAAATCAGTTTCATTCAGTTCATTCAGTGATTATTTATATAATCAGAATTTGATAACAATTATTAATAACACTCATGAAATAACTAAATACATTCTTGTGTAAGTGTATTCTTCACTTTCTCATGAAAACTACACTTCTCTGATATACTGTGATCAGAGGTATTAAACTGTCTGATAATTTCATGTTTTATAATCATGAGTTTCTTGATTGTTTCTTCTTGTAATTGTTCTCAGTGATAGTAATAAATATCTCAACTTGAGTTGAACTTTCACTTCATTCTCATCTCTGTCAATGAAATTGTTAGAATATCACACATTATCAGTGCAATAGTTGAATATGTACTCTTAACAATTTTTCATAACTCTAGAATTAATTTAACATGTAAATTCATCAAATCTTCTTGAAGATAGCAGTCAAATTCAGTTTTACAAGTATGTAGTTTTGCCTGATTTTCAGTTATAATCAATGTATGTAAGTTCTGTTTCAAAGTTAGTATTATAGTTCTATATAATATGAAGTGTTATTAAAGATTATTACTTACTAGAAAATTGTATTTCACTGTCTCTACATCTTAAATATCTGCTCATTCAAATCTCTGATAGTTGATATTGTAGTAGTTTCAGACTAATTTAATATATAAGTCTCATTTCTTCTCTGTTTAATCTTGAGAAGTGTAGATATTAACTCAATAGAAGAGATCTAGTAGAGCTGCTATAGTATAGTACTCTGTAAAAGATTGTTCAGTTTTGCTGTAGTAATATATCAGTTTATTCCTTGCAGCAATAATAGTCTGTGCTATAGCATTATTTCAGACTGAATTTCTTTTTAAGTGATTCAACTACTTCTCAAGATGAGTAAATAAACTGTTATACATTTATAAAACTGACTGCAGCATTGATATACAAGTGTTTGAGACTGTCTTTATTATCTTATAAAACTGAAACAGTAAATCAATCACATATTTCAACTGAGTTTACTTTATATCAGAAAGTTTCAATATCTGAATCTTTTTCTGATCAGAGTATTACACTCAATAATCAATCATCTGGTATAATTGAAGAGCTTGAATAGTTATCTTATATATTGAACTTTATCATATTCTAACATTCTGTATCATATTCAGTGATATAACTGATTTATTTATTTATTAAATATCATGAAATCATTATTGTTATTTAGAGAAGATACAAATCATATTAGCAATATTTTGAATCTGTGATATTTAAATTATTAGTCAATCTATTCAAAATTAACAGTAGTGTTATCAAAAAGCATTATTAAAAAACAATATTAAAAAGTATTATTAAAAAATATTATCTTTTATAAAGTGAATGTAAAAGTTACTTAAGTAATCACTTTCATCTCATTCTCATTTCAAGAATCAGTCATCTCATTATTCTTCATCTTAATATTAAGATTCTTTATCAGTGTTTGCATTATAAGTTGAACCACATGAGCAATGTAGAGAATATAATCTTGTTTATTATTTCAGAAATACAAAGTCAATTTTTGCTTCAAGCTCTTCATCATAGTGTAGTTATTCACAGCATTATCAGTTGTAATTGTAAGAAGACTGAGACTAATATTTCAATAGTTATTTTTAATCACAGTTATTAATATCTCTGTTATATAATTCTCAGTATAACTACTGATTAATGATTCAAATTCAATTAATGTCTCTTAATAAGTTCAGTTCTTATCAATATAATAACATATAACTCTCATAAATGTAAGATTGTTTATACTAGTTCATGCATTCACTGTGAGAGGCACTCTTCAATAATTCTTCAACTCTGATTCTAGATATTATATATTAACTTTGTAGTGTATCTTGAGATTGAACTGAAGACAGAATTAATGTGAAATATGAAGATTTAAATTAAGCATTTGAAGAAGTGTTCAGAATTCAAGGTTTTCAATTAATCAAAGAGAAAGATTCAGAGATATATACATACAAAGTAATTATTTACAGAAGTTATCAGATAAGAGTTATGAAATCAGAGTACTAATACATGATCATTTTCATATGATTTTCTTCAAATTAGAAAGTTAGTATTATTAAAAATTATTATCTGATAGAGTAACTTATCAGCTCAGTAGTAATTTTCTGATTATTTTTCTTTTATTATCTGCATTCTGATGACTTCAGATGTCAGAAAATTACTTCAGAGTTATAATCAGTTCATGATAAATGTTTCTGAATGAAGTTACAGTGATTATAGTAGAGAGATAACTCTTCAGTAATCTGCAATGCAATCTGTTGATAATTATTTTATAGTTCATCTCAATATTTATATTGAGTTTTTCATAAATTTTATGACCTGAAATCAGATGTGAAGAATGAAGTGATTATTTATTATAATTGAAAGAGAGCATTCTGTGTTGAATTGTAAATAATATAGACTTTGTGATTCACAGTGATTTCTTAAAGAGTTTATGAATCTTCAATAGAATTAAAAGAAGTAAAAGAAGTGAATTCAGAAGATATGATAATAATTTAAGAAAGATAATAATTTATTTTCAATAACTAATCACTGATGTGTGTAAGAAGAATTAATATAAGAGAAAATAATCTTGTTTCTTAGCTTAGTTATAATTTTAGTACTAACTCAGATTGAATATCATCAATGTATAAAAGTAAATAAACAATCTTGATTAATCTCTGTCATATTTCTTGAAATATATTAATATTGTGAAAGAGAGTGTTATCAAATTATGTTATCAGATAATATTATTAAAAATATATTAATATTATAAATATCAATATTGAAAAAGTGTTGATACTTATACATTATAGTGATTTATGAATCATGATAGTTAAATATATATATATATATATATTATTCCTGACTTGATTACAACTTGTATAATAATTTTTGAAAACTCAAAATCAATTTTAATTATTAATAATTATGAACTTATAACTAATTAATATAAAAAGAAAAAAACTTTTTCTACTTCTTCTCTTTCTCATTCTTCTTATCATTCTTCATAATTCACTTCTTATTTTTCTTCTTCTTCTTCTTCTTCTCATCTGAGATAATAATCATCTCAAAATCTCTCTTCACTGTCTTCTTAGAAAAGGGTTTTCACTGCTCTCTCTCAGCCAGGTTAATCTGCATCTCAAAATCCTGCATTTCCTGGTCTGCTGTCTCAGGTTTCATCTCAGTGATAAGCAGATTGACATGCTCAGAGAGCAGAGCTGTCTTCTTAATATTCTGAATTATGAAATGCATTTGAGATCTGAACAAGGTCTCAATCCCCTTCTTCTCTGTCAACTTCTGCTAATTAATTAGAGAATAGAAGTATTATTAAAAATCACTCTCTCTCAATAAATAAAAAACTTATCAGTTTTAACTTCTTTATCTCTTACTTTAACACTCTCTTAATCTTCTTCTGCTACTGTTTATTTACAGTAATACTCTTCTTCTCTCTCTCTCTCTTTATCTTAAACTTCAATTATTCTCAGAACTTCTTCTGATCTTATCACTACTATATAAGACTCTTCACTGTCTTCTTCTTCAATCTCTTATAGACAGTGCTATCTGCATTATTTCTATACTTAGTTCAGTCTAAATCTATCAGAAGTGTTACTTAAAATTATTATCATTCTACTTTCTTACAGAGTCTCTTCAAGGCATTATAATATATCTTACAATCTATCTCTTCTTACTTAAACATCTTCTTCTTCTCTCTCTTCAATCTGTGACAGCACTCACGCGCCTTGATAGTCTGCAGAACCACAGAATATTTGAAGAAGAATGACATGATTAATTTTAGTAAGTATTGAAGAGAGATGAAGGCAGAAGAGACAGTTAGAAATAATATAATAATAATAATAATAATAATAATAATAATAATAATGATGATGATGATAATAATGATAATGATGATAATGATAATAATAGTGATGATGATGATGATGATGATAATGATAAAAGAGAGAGTGCATTGAAATATATTACTGACTTATCAAATATAAAGAGACAAAGAAAATATTAACAGCTTTCAGAGATATATGAAAACAGCTATAGTGTTGCATAGTAACATCATCTTCATTCAACGCATGCAGTATTGATATTCTTTATATACAGTTATTATATAATCTATATCAGAGATACATGCAGAAAATAGATCTTTATTACTAGAAAGAATGATTGCAGTAATTCTCTATTTTTATATTATAAAGATAAGTTATTCTTATTTCTTTCTTCTCTCTTTTCTCTTCTTCTTCAATTCATCACTAAGTTCAAGCTGATATGAAAACTATTAAAACACTCTTAGAAACTCTCAAATTGAAGAGTATAGACTAATCAAATTTTAAATATAGAAGAATTAAATTACATTTAACATTACTAATTATTTATTCTCTCTTAATTAAATCACAGTTGTGTCTTTCTCTCTCTCTCTCAAACAAAACATGGCCTGTGAAAAGTGAGTATCACATCAGATTATAATGACTAACACAGCTCTAGTATGCAGAACTGTATACACACAGCATGTACTGAACTGAGAGACTGTGTGAGTTGTAAACCAGTGCCAGCATTTCAGAGAGAGCTATGTGATGTAAGAAAGCTGCAACTCTCAGTCACATGCACAGAGAATGAATTGTCACAGTAAGTGCATATGCATTGTATAAAAGTAACACTTTTTAATAACACTCAGTCTCTGATATCATGAAAATAGAGTCTCTTCATGAGATTCATTTTTATCAGAAGTCAGAGAATCTTATATTTCTCAAGATCATCTTCATATATCTTATTCATGAAATCAATGAGAGAAATCATTGATTTCAGTGTTCTACTCTTAATATTATACAAGTGACAGCAGAGTTCACTCTGATCACACTTTTTAAGTGTATATTTTCTAAATATTCACATTTATACAGATATATACTGATTATTTATTAGATAATGTTAAGACAATGACTTATCACAGCTGTGTTATTCTCACTGTAAGAAATACATAGTTAGTGATAAACATTGCAAAGACTCTGAGAAGTAAGTATTTTGAAGATACTATAGCTCTGCAATCTTGATTTCTTTTGTTTTTATTTTTTTTTTCTTTCTCTTTTTTTTTTTTCATTCTGATTTTTTCTTGTTTTTGTTTTGTTTTTTGTTTTTTGTTTTTTGTTTTTGTATTTTATATTTTTTTCATAATTAAAATTATATGAATTATGATCTGTGTTTAGAAAAGTAATAATATTTGATAACACTCTCTGTTGAATTTTCAACAAATGAGTACTATGTTATGATATTATGTAAGTGAGAAGTGATTTTATAATCTCATTTAATGTCATTCTCAATAATGAGATCAGAATGAAAATGTGACTAAGAATTCAAATATATTCTTTATTCAGAACTAGATTTTTATTTGAAAAGTGAATCTAGAACCTTTAATATTTGAAATAATATGATTTGAAATCAATGTGATGAACACAAATCATGATCAGAAGTAATGCTTTTAGACAATATAACAACTGTAAAGTTTGATTCTGGTCTCAGACACGGTCACACGGTCAGTCTACACTGAATGCAACTATGAGATCTATAATAAGAAACTTCTTACAATTATACACTGTCTAGAAGAATAGAACTCTGAACTCTAAAGTGTCTCTGAATTTGAGAGAATCACAGATTATAAGAATCTCAAGTACTTTATAACTATCTGTAAACTCACTGAATGATAGATATGATAATCTGAGTTCTTAAGCTGCTTTCATTTTATAATACACTATCATCTCAGCAGTCAGAACTCAATGATAGATGCTCTTTTATAACAAGAGTAAGATATATCATCTGATGTAACAGATACTCACTGAATGAACTGAGAGCACTGACTCTTAAATCTGAAGATATTAGTTAATCAAGATGAAACAGCTTATGACACTATATACACTTCTCTGATTAGAACATTCTCTTTCTGAACTGACACTGATACTGATATCTCAACTTCTTCTGAATCTACACTGAATGAATTATAATATATAACAGCTTAAACTGATGAACTTCTTCAAGCACTCACTGAAGCAGTATGTCAAGAAGCACTCTGATTTCTCTCAGAACTATGTATAAGAACTGACATCTCAGAATGCTCAATTAATGATAATAATACTCTACAGTTTCATGAACAATGTTAAATCTCTCACTCTGAATTCTTATACACTTGAATAATGCAAGAGATGCATGATTTGTGTATAATCAGTTATTCAGGTCATGAACAACTGTATTAAATAATCTCTCGGAAGTTCTACTGACTCAAGATATTAAATAGTATCAGATGTTTTGTCTGAAACTGTAATCATTATTTTTTCATCATCTTATTATTATTATTATTCTTCAATTATAGATGTATGCAGTCAGAGACTATGACATCTACCTGAGAACTTTTAGTTCTCAGAGTTTTTCCTATATCTGTAAAGTTAACTATTATACATTCATCAATTTCAGATATGCAAAATCAGAAAATTCCAGCTCAGAATACAAAAACTGTTTACAAATTACAGTGTTTTAATATCTTCTGATACTTTGAAATCATTTGACAATATCATGACAAAGGAAAAGAGAAAAAGAACACAGTCTTAAAGATAGACACATTAAATAGATAGATAGAAAGAAATTGAAAGAAAAAGATAAAGTAAAGAGAGACTGTAACAAAACAAATTATTAAAAAATAGTGTATAGCTGTTTTAACAGACTATATCTGATTAATTTCCTCCTCTTCATATTCAGATAATTCTGAATTTAGCCATTTTCTTATAGCTGCTTGAGTTTCTGATAAAAAGTCTATTAAGTATTTAATTTCTGTCTCAGTTGAGAATAAGAATCTCATATTTAATTGATTTAGATTATACTTCTCTTTCAATCTGACTCTGAGACTATTGTATAATGCACAGTGCATTATAATATACTCAGAATTCTCATTTACATTGCAGAATGAGCATTCTATTGAGTCAAATCTATCATCAAATCTTTGTATATAAGATTTGAAATAGTCATGTTCTAGTTTCAGCTGTATTATAGATGAGAATATTTTCTTTTTACATTTAATTGAACAAGATTTTCACTTGGGTTTTATTTCAAATCTTGAATAATGTATACTCTTCTTTTGTTTCTACCAGCTTGCATTTCACTTGTCTAAACAAGATTCTTTTATTTTTCTCTTTATAAAAAACCAGAACATAATTTTATGAATAGATCTGCTTAATTCTGCACTCTTTTTTACAGCTGAATCAGTCAATTCATTGTCATGAATATTCATATGAGCAGGAACTTATTGCAGATGAATTATCAGCTTTGATATTCTTCTCTTTTGAATTTTTAAAACAGAGTTTAAGATCAGTTCAAGATTCATTTGATCATTATGAATCTGACTATTTCTAAGTCTTTTTAAAGCAGCTTGACTATCAGAGAATATTCATATCTCTTTCAAACTATTTTCTCTTTTATGAGATTTTATTTCTATGAGTTTGAAAGCTTTCACTATTGCAAATAGTTCAGCATCAAAGACTTCAGATTCACAGCCTAGATTTCAGAAATCTGAGATAAAATTGATATTATCTTCAGTATAAGCAATGCCTGCATCTAATCTATTCAGATTCTCATTTTTTAAGTCATCTGAATAAATCAGAATAGAGTCTTTTATATTGATTGTAGAAATTCTCTTCAAATGCTGTTCATATTCTTTCTCTTTTGATAGTTCACTTATTTATAAGTCTATAAGAGATTCAAGCTTTTCTCTCCAGAGAGATAACTTCTCATGATTCACTTTTTCAACATTTAAAGAAGAAAATTGATTTTTAATCAGAGAGCATAGTCTGTAAAGTTGAGAAGACATTTTCTTTAAAGAATTATTTTCATTTCAATCAAGAAATCTATTTCAATTCAGTTCATTTCCAGAGTTAATTGATGAAAATGAAGAAGAGACTCTTTCTCTGATTATATAATTTAAGCTCATCTTTATAACTCTCAGTGCATAGTTCATACAGGCCTTTTCAAATCTAATAGCAGAAGGAGAAATTGAAGCTTCAATTTTCATTGCTTTAATAGAAGATGATTTGAATGCTTCTAGAATTCTTCTCAAGACTCTGTTTTACAGACTTTGAAAGAGTTCAGTGAAATTTCCTTGATTATTTCATCAAACTTGAACTTCATAATCAGCTACTGATGTAATACAGACTATATATAACTGTCTCATAGCCTGGAAGAATAGATCTCTCTCTGTATTTGATAGTCTGATTATGTTGTTCAATAGTCTTTCTGCCTTGACAGTTCTTTGTTGAATGTGATATTTAAAATTCAACTTGAAGTTTAACCATACTTCTAATCATTTGATATTTACACTGAGTTTAATCTCTCTATTTAAAAGAGTTAGAGATAGTTCTTTCTTATTGAATCTAGAAAAGAAATGAATTAACTCAGTTTTATTTATATTAAATTAAATTTGATTAATATCTGCTCTAATAAAGATTTTCTTTGCAGCTTCTTCAATCACTTTCAAATTCTCTTTGATAGTTTTTGAGCTGTAGACTAGATTAATATCATTCATATAACTCAGAGATCATACTATTCTCATATTTCTATTTTTGAATAGATATGCAGTGTATATTGCAAATAAAATAGATAAGATTGAAGATTCTTATGATACTTCTATTTTTATCTCAGTCTTGTCTTATTTTATTTCATCAAAGAAAAGTTATATAATTCTTTTAGATATAAAACAGTTATTTTATTTTATTAGAGAAAGTGACAGTTTTAACATCTTCAATATCTGAATTAACTTTGACTTTGAAACATAATCAAATACTTCTTTTATATCAATAAAAACTGCAGTTGAGATCAGATCTTCATGCTTTGCTATTTAAATATCATGAACAACTGAGAGAACAGTGTCAATTGTAGAACACTGTTTTCTATCTCTCATTTATTCACTGAATAAAAGAAAATTACTGACAGAGCTTATAAAAGATAGTTGAGTAGCTATTATCTTTTCTAAAACCTTTTCTAGACAGTTCAATAGAGATATTACTCTATATGACTTAAAAATTGAAGTTTTTCTATTAGATTTTATAAGAATCACTTCAGTGGCTTCTCTCCAGCATTCAGAATGATATTCATTTTTCAAGAGATTGAAAAAGAGCTCAAAATATTCATTCTTTAAGTAGGAGTATGTATTTTGATTAATTAAGTGATTAATTGAATCAGGCCCTGCAGCAGTCTTAACTGAACTTGAGAAGATAGCTGACTCTAATTCATCTTGAGTAAGATCAGATCATTCTCAGTCATTTTCATCAATATAGTTAAGAAGTGATATATTCTCTTTCTCTGAATCTGAATCTGATGAGTTTTGAAAGAGAGTTCTTATAAAAGCTTGACATTTTTTCTTAAAAGAGTTTGCTGTATATGATTCATTCTGAAACTCATATTCTAAGATTGAAAGTTTTGCTATACTTCTTGTTTTACGATCATCTGAAAAACAACCGCTTCACCACGAACTCGCTCGATTTTTCGAATAAGAACCCGCCGATAGATCCATCGAAAAGCCCTCGATCATATGAGCATTTTGACCACATCGCCGACTGCATACCCCGTGTGGTGGTGGAGTTATCCAGCCAAACATGAACCAGACGTCGTTCGAAACTCCTGTGTGGGATTATCCCCCATTCTCCCCTACCACACCACAACCCCGGGCCAAATTGCCATACAAATTGTAAGGTGAAGAGACCTAGCCATATGCACCAATCTTCTCGATTTTGGAAGATCCCCGATCTGTAGTTGTGGAGATATCTGAGGAGCGACCTCCGCGAAAACCCTGTCCATCTTTGATGTTCCAAAACACCAACGCCAAGTCCCACCCTCGTACCGCCCTTCCCAATCTGGCCCATCCCCAGCAGAAAAATACAAAAAGATACCTCGGCGATAATATCAAGCACATAACCAACAGCCACTTCTGAAGTGCAACCTCCGCGGTCTGTCTTCAGTGTATCTAGACATCAACACCAAGTCTCACCCTTGTACCACCCCTCTCAATCTGGCTCATCCCCGACAGAAAAGTACAAAAAGATACCTCAGCAACTGTACTTGATACATAATCAGCAGACATGACAACTATAAAATCAGTATATCTCAAGGTCTGACTGAGCCTTTGATCCCTGCATAGTAAGATATATTAAATCTAGTTTTAATATCTCAATATTCAATAGATTCTGTAAGAGATTGAGAATAGTAATACTAGATTTCTATTGAATTTAAGAATTAACTCTATATTAATATAATCATTGACAAAGTCTTCTATTTTGAGATATAAATAATCAGTTTCTCTACATTCTGCTGATAATATTTACATTATTATATAGAAACAGACTTATATTCTCTATAATATTATAACTCTGAAGAGAGAAAGTCTTGATAGAGAGTATACAGTAGTGTATATCTTAGCAGTTTCTATCTCATTCTTCTGCAGCAGTTAATGCAAAAAAAAAAAAAAAAAAAAAAAGATTTTAGAAATAGTTTTTTACTTCTCTTGAAAAAGTAAGATGTTTTTCTCTGAATTTTACACAATATTCTTCAAGAGAATTTCATCAATCACTTCATCACAAACTCACTCAATTTTTCAAATAAGAACCCGCTGATAGATCCATCAAAAAGCCCTCAATCATACAAGCATTTTGACCCCATCGCCGACCGCATACCCCGTGTGGTGGTGGAGTTATTCAGCCAAACATGAACCAGATGTCATTTGAAACTCCTGTGTGGGATTATCCCTCATTCTCCCCTATCACACCACAACCCCGGGCCAAATTGCCATACAAATTGTAAGGTGAAGAGACCTAGCCATATGCACCAATCTTCTTGATTTTGAAAGATCCCTGATCTGTAGTTGTGAAGATATCTGAGGAGCAACCTCTGCGAAAACCCTGTCCATCTTTGATGTTTCAAAACATCAATGCCAAGTCTCACCCTCATACCGCTCTTCTCAATCTGGCCCATTCTCAGCAGAAAAATACAAAAAGATACCTCAGTGATAATATTAAGCACATAATCAACAGTCACTTCTGAAGTGCAATCTCTGTGGTCTGTCTTCAGTGTATCTAGACATCAACATCAAGTCTCACCCTCATACCACCTCTCTCAATCTGGCCCATCTCTGACAGAAAAGTACAAAAAGATACCTCAGCAACTGTACTCAATACATAATCAGCAGACATGATAACTATAAAATCAGTATATCTCAAGGTCTGACTGAGCCTTTGATCCCTGCATAGTGAGATATATTAAATCTAGTTTTAATATCTCAATATTCAATAGATTCTGTAAGAGATTGAGAATAGCAATACTAGATTTCTATTGAATTTAAGAATTAACTCTATATTAATATAATCATTGACAAAGTCTTCTATTTTAAGATATAAATAATCAGTTTCTCTACATTCTGCTGATAATATTTACATTATTATATAGAAACAGACTTATATTCTCTATAATATCATAACTCTGAAGAGAGAAAGTCTTGATAGAGAGTATATAGTAGTGTATATCTTAGCAGTTTCTATCTCATTCTTCTGCAGCAGTTAATGCAAAAAAAAAAAAAAAAAAAAGATTTTAGAAATAGTTTTTTACTTCTCTTGAAAAAGTAAGATGTTTTTCTCTGAATTTTACACAATATTCTTCAAGAGAATTTCATCAATCACTTCATCACAAACTCACTCAATTTTTCAAATAAGAACCCGCTGATAGATTCATTGAAAAGCCCTTGATCATATGAGCATTTTGACCCCATCACCGACTGCATACCCTGTGTGGTGATGGAGTTATCCAGCCAAACATGAACCAGATGTCATTCAAAACTCCTGTGTGGGATTATCCCTCATTCTTTCCTACCACATCACAACCCCGGGCCAAATTGCCATACAAATTGTAAGGTGAAGAGACCTAGCCATATGCATCAATCTTCTCAATTTTGGAAGATCCCCAATCTGTAGTTGTGAAGATATCTGAGGAGTGACCTCCGCGAAAACCCTGTCCATCTTTGATGTTCCAAAACACCAACACCAAGTCCCACCCTCGTACCGCCCTTCCCAATCTGGCCCATCCTCGGCAGAAAAATACAAAAAGATACCTCAGTGATAATATCAAGCATATAATCAACAGATACTTCTGAAGTGCAATCTCTGTGATCTGTCTTCAGTGTATCTGAACATCAACACCAAGTCTCACTCTTGTACTACCCCTCTCAATCTGGCCCATCCCCGGCAGAACAATACAAAAAGATACCTCAGTAACAGTATTTGATACATAATCAGCAGATAACAAGTCAACAGAACAAGTCAACAGCATATCAACAACTATAAATTCAGTATACTTCAAGATCTGACTGAGCCTTTAATCCCTGCACAGTGAGATATATTAAATCTAGTTTTAATACCTCAATATTCAATAGATTCTGCAAGGGATTGAGAACAGCAATACTAGATTTCTATTGAATTTGAGAATTAACTCTATATTGATATAATCATTGATAAAGTCTTCTATTTTAAGATATAAATAACCAGTTTCTCTACATCTCACTGACAATATTTATATTATTATATAGAAACAGACTTATATTCTCTATAATATCAAGACTCTGAAGAGAGAAAGTCTTGATAGAGAGTATACAGTAGTGTATATCTTAGTAGTTTCTATCTCATTCTTCTGCAGCAGTTAATGAAAAAAAAAAAAAAAGATCTTAGAAATAGATTTTTACTTCTCTTAAAAAAGTAAGATGTTTTTCTCTGAGTTTTATACAATATTCTTACAAAGAATTAAAAACAGAGCTGTTTTCTGTCATAATTTCATATTATTTTAAGTAAGAATTACTTTTTCAGTAGCTGAAGAGCTTTCATTAATACTTAATTCTTTTTTACACTCTTTATTAACTGATTTGAGTTGCACACTTGTTGTGTGAGAATAATTGAATGATTTAGAATAAAATTGAATAGTTTTAATCAATTTCTCTGCAAAAAATTGATTTATTTTTTATCAGTTTTTCTCTCAAAAACTGTCATATTATCTGATTTATTATCAATTGATATCATACTTTTCCTCACTGTATCTCAAGAAAGAGATTGTAAAGATTTTATTGATTTATCTCAAAAATCAATTTTAGTTTATTAGATTCTCTTCAAAAATCTAACCTAGTTACTGAACTAGTGTGAAAAAAATCAGGTGTTTTATACATAAAAGTCTTTTATTCTTCTTTTGAAACAGTCTAACCAACTTTTCAATTGAAAACAGACTTAGAAACCTCTGAATTAAAACAGTCTGATCAACTTTTCAAAAGAGTTCAATACATATCTCAATTGAAACAGTCTGACTAACTTTTCATTGAGTGAGAACAATGAGTTCAAAAATACACTCAGTTGATGTGGAAAAAGATGCTTTGTCAAATGCTATTCCTGAGATTGAAATTCTGAAGAGAAGAAAGAAAGAAGAAATAGAGAAACAACAAGTTCTTGAAATACAGAAACTTGAAAAAGTAAGCAAGATTCTTGAAAAGCAGTGTCTGAGTGAGATAAATGAAGAGGTTCTGCTAATTCTTCATACTCAGACTAGACAACTACAGAAGATGATCAAGTTCAAACTTGGAATTTCAAACACAGTTCAAAAAACATTGAAAATTCCTAGTACAATCACTGACTTCTTATCTTACTCTTCTTTCTCTTTTTCTACTTCTTCTTCTTCTTTAAATCAGAAGAAAACATATGCTCAAGCAGCTGAATCTGCTGTCTCTAAACCTGCTATCTCAAAACATGCTTAAAATCCTGAAAAAACTGAGAAGAATAATGCTCATACTTCTATTGATAGAAAAGTGAAGAAAAAAATGCAAAAGAAGAAAAACTTTCAAATCTTCAGAAATAGAAGACTTATTCTCAAAGTCTCAAATCAGAACATCTTGTAAAGGAACAAGCTAAACTCAAATCTCATTTTCAGAATCAGAAATGAAATTAATCAGCAGTTCTTTTCTCAGTTAATGACTGATATTGAAGTTCAAAAATCAGTTATGACTTCAATTGAGTCATTCTTCTTTGAAAACTTCATTATTCTGACTACAATGTCTGAATTCAGTACAGAATTCCTTATTCAGAATGAGAATCTCTGAAAATCAGTAATAGAATCTTTATTAAACATAATAATTCTATCTGAGAGAGATGAAAAATGAGACAAATTCATTCTTCATGATATTTCAGTTGAAATTTTTGACTGTGAAGAAGAAATGCTACTTCTCAAAAATGAATTAGAAGAATACAACTCTATTCAACTGAGAAAAGAGCCTGTATAACTAAATTCAATTGAGTTCAGATAAAGCAGAAGAAATGCCTCTGTTCTAGTATATACAAAAACACTTGAACAGTCAAAGATCTCTGAAGTAAGAGTAGCAGGTTTGAAAATGAGAGTTCATGAATACAAAGACTTAAGAATGAATCTCAAAGCTCAAACACAGTGTTCAAACTGTCAAAGATATGAATACTTTACAATCTTCTGTTTCAGAGACTCAAAATATGTATTCTGTGTCAGAGATCACAAAACTAGTGAGCATAAATGTGAAACATGCTTAAAAAGAGATGAAATATGTTAATATACTCTGCTTAAATGCTCTAATTGCAAAGAAAAACATGCATCTAGCTCAAAAGAATGTATGTTTGCTTCAAGAACTCAAAAGAACTGAAGAAAAGATGAAGCTTAAAGTAAATCTAGAACTGAAGAGAATAGTCAAGTCAGTAAACTCACAACTGCAAGCTTAAAAAGAAGAAACTCTCAACTATCTAAATCTTCAAACTTCAATTCTCCAGCTAAATGTAAACAGAATTTGAATTCTCAAACTTCTGTTAAGATTAGAGAATTGAGAAATGACTCTGATGATAAACTAGATATAATGTAAGCAGTTGAGATTTCTACTTTTCAGAATAGTTATAATCTACTATCTAATGATAGTGATTAGATTCTACTCTACTCTCTTTTAGTATAAATATACAAC